GCGGCGAGGTAAATATCCACCGCTAACCACCGACACTGAGGTGAATAGTTGTTTCAGTATATACTAAAACAGTGAGATAATATACAACACCAAAAATTGATTTTAATTCATACAATCCAGCCACGATTCCAACATTTTCACGCGCGGAAGTGAACAAGTGAGGTTACGATTTGTAAACAAAACCTTTCTCATTGGTTTTTATCGATAAACTCCGGGATAAAAACTCAAACCATTACCTTTAAACACGGCCAAACCAAATTTAGTCGCTTTCTTTGTGTTTTCAGAGACTGCTTCGTCGTTAATTTGAGTGATTTCCTCGCTTGTCACGGATGCAAACAGAGATGCCATTTTTTTCCCGAGTTGCTCGGAGGTAAATAACAAAGGATATTCGGAGTTTGACCAGCCAATCAGAGCGCGCCTTCAACGCTATCCATTGTTTTAGTATATACTAAAAAACTTATCGCGCGATACATCAACTCATCCCGCGATAGATAATATTATCGCGCGATAATTTTATTACTAGCTCCCATAGCCCCACGACCATTAGCACGTGGTCACATCTATAGCGAGATGGCGGACCAAGTTTCGAAGGTGAGTAATTGTCCACGAAATAAAGACTTTTATTCTAGATTTTTGAGCAAGAGACGGTAATCTTTAGATTAAATGAAATTATATTTCTATGCTATCTTAGTAAGTGGAGTTAAAGATATGAGAGGGACTTTATTGCTCTATATTTGAAAGATTGTTTATGAATATAAGGTGTCGGGATGCGTTTTTAAACTATATAAGGTGTATAAGGTGAAAGATCGTTTATGAATATAAGGTGTAGGGATACGTTTTTAAACTATACAAGGTGTATAAGGTGAAAGATTGTTTATGAATATAAGGTGTAGGGATACGTTTTTAAACTATATAAGGTGTATAAGGTGAGAGATTGTTTATGAAATATAAGGCGTAGAAAGCATAGAAATATGATTTAATTTAACCCAAAGATTACCGTCTCTTGCTCAAAAATCAAGAATAAAAGTCTTATTTCTTGGACAATACTCACGTTCGAAACTTGGTCCGCCGTCTTGCTATGGATGTGACCACGTGCTAATGGTCGTGATGCCATGGGAGCTAGTAATAAAATTATCGGGCGATAATATTATCTATCGCGCGATAAGTTGCTCTATCGCACGATACAGTGTTCTATCGCGCGATAAGTTGTTCTATCGCGCAATAAGTTGCTCTATCGCGCGATAAGTTGTTCTATCGCACGATACAGTGTTCTATCGCGCGATAAGTTGTTCTATCGCGCAATAAGTTGCTCTATCGCGCGATAAGTTGTTCTATCGCACGATACAGTGTTCTATCGCGCGATAAGTTGTTCTATCGCGCAATAAGTTGTTCTATCGCGTGATAAGTTGTTCTATCGCGCGATAAGTTGTTCTATCGTGCGATAAGTTGTTCTATCACGCGATAAGTTGTTCTGTCACGCGATAAGATTATCTATCGCGCGATAATGTTGATTGCAAATTTTAAGAATGAAGGGACTTAGCAAAACTTATCGCGCGATAAAGTCATGAAAATTTTTGTAGGTGGATGGCCCTTGAGAGCCACCGTACGGGAGTGAACAAAGTTTTGAATGGTTCAACTGCACTTAAGAACGGCTACATATTGCATAGAGAAATTTTTCCCATAGGCTAATTCGATTTTAGTGATGAAAACAAACTTAGAAAATCCACATAGCTCTTGTTTATCATAAAGCAACTGTCCATCTGTTACAAATTGTTAGCATCTGCTGAATGTGAATACTTACCTTTACCGTTCTTACGATTCAAAAATTGACTCCTATGCTTACTCGCATAAAGATCGTATAAAACAGTGCTGAGGGTCGAGAAACAAGCGAATTTTTTTTTTCCAAACGGACTTTCGATTGTGGAATTATTAATTCATCTACTTTCCTTATTATATTTACATTTTTCAAACGAGACAAAACCCTTCAATGGTTAAAATATTTATACTGAATCGCACTTCCGCTGATAATATTAAGTAGACAGCCAGAAATGGGAGACTGTCAAGTCACAAAAACTGAAACTAAAGGGTGCACTTTCTCGATATATATATGGCTTTTTCAGATTTTATCGAGGCTACCTAGAGCATAAGCTGGGGAGAAACCGATGGAGCCATTGATTGTGATGAGTTCGGTATCACAGCGGTAGTCGAACTCTCAGCGAAAATGAGATAGACAAAATGAAAGTTGTACAACGAAACGCAATGGGAGAGATTGTTTTTCCCCTAAATCATGCGTCAAAGAATGCCACAAACAAATCTACTCTGAATCCGTTGATGATGATGAAGGCTCTCATTACATCAACTTTGAATAGAAAATTAGTCATAACTGCCTCGGTGTCTTCTATACATTTAGTAACGTTCACTAGTTTTAATTTATCTTTTAAGTCTGATTTCTTAAAATTTACTTAATGGCGACGGCGACATTCTAAGGTGTCAGTACATTGATGGCCGGCTGACTCTGTCACGGCCCTTTCTCTTTTTCCTTCAGAAACCTTCTTTTGTAGTTATTGAACTAATTGTTTACAACAGGACCGGGGCCGCGAATAAACCCTAGCTAAAGGGCCAGATAAAGAAAGGAAACTTTCTTAGCCTCCCACTCGTTTCTCTTTGTTTCTGCAGGCGGAAAATAAAGTCTGCGCCGATGATAACATCGCTCTACGCACTTTGAGTACGTAGTGTAACAATAATATAATGGTGTACGTATGATGCACGATCCTCGCAGTCTCTACTGCGAGGATCGTGCATCATACGTATCTAATACCGCAGTTTAAAATATATGAACTTCATATATTCATTTTATCTGATTTATCTTCACAGGTTTATTACGAATCAACTTAATGGCCTGCTCCCAGTTGGCTTGTTAGCTCAATTGGTAGAGCGCTGCCCTAGTATCGCAGAGGTCATTGGTTCGAATCCCGTACAGGCCTGATTTTTTTCAGGTCTGATTTTCACTATTGTATAAATAGCGCTCTCTACTGCGAGGATCGTGCATCATACGTATCTAATACCGGAGTTCAAAATAGGTGCACTTCATATATTTATTGTATCTGATTTATCATCACGGGTTTATTACGAATCAACTTAACGGCCTGCTCCCAGTTGGCTTGTTAGCTCAATTGTAGAGCGCTACACTATTATCGCAGAGGTCAGTGGTTCGAATCTCGTACAGGCCTGATTTTTTTCAGGTCTGATTTTCGCTATTGCATAAATAACGCTCTCTACTGCGAGGATCGATCGTGCATCATACGTATCTAATACCGCAGTTCAAAATATATGAACTTGATATTTTTATTGTATCTAATTTAATGGTGTGTAGCGCATATTAAAAAGTCATCTGACACTGCGAGTTATCCATCCAATTCGTGAGGCCAATTAATGCCACTGTATCTGCCACCTATTTATATTGACAACGTTGGAGACAAGTTTTTCGCCGAGCATTACAACAGGGAACTGGGAAAGCAACAACCAAGGAATTATAGGGAAAATATTTATTCTCATTTATTGGTTTTTCATGACAAATATGAATAAACTTACTTAGCAGATTTACTGAACGAAGTGGTGACGCAATACTAGGTTAAGCTTCCCTCGCGTGTAATAGTCGCAATAGTCGCAATAGTCGCAATTGTATTAAAACATCCTTGTTACATTGAATTATAGTTTTCTGAACTAGTTATGCCAAGCTTAGTGTAATTTAGGAAGCTCTGCATCAACCAGGAAAAATTATTTTTTTGTTACCGGTGCCTTTCTTTCTTATTTTGGATTGTAAAATACGTGCTCAGATCTTTATCGACAATTTTGCCGTAGAATTTCGTTTAACAGATTTCAAACCAGAAATTTTCCCCTTTATTTGTATTCTTCTTTCCTAAAAGTTCCAAACCATTGTCTCCTATAGGAGGTTTGCACGTTACGTCATTGCCGCCATGTTGGTGGACGTAAACAATAGATATCTCATTAGCTTCTTTTGTTCGTCCACCAGCCTTTGTTCCTTTCACCCTTGTTACCTGTGTCTCTAGAGATTGGTTGCAAATCACCTATTACAATATCATTTCAACGTAGGCTATTGAAATAAAAAATGGAATAATTGAAATTGATGCAACTGTCAGTAGAGTGAAAAAAAAACGATCAAACTTAAACAAAAACATTATTGGATAGTCAAGTACAAAACTTTTCTGTGATAGATTATTTTAGTTCTAAGTTATAACCTACATGCATATCACAGTAAAAACACCCACGAATTCTTATTTTTTTTGCAAAAAGACTCAGACTGTCATACGTAAATATGTATCTCGGCATTATAAAACAGAAATTCTCTATGCTAGAGCCCAAATTTTGATTCCTTAGTTTCAAAGTGGCATATTTTGTTTGGATTATAACACTTGAGTATAAAAGTTTTGTAGTACTTGTTACGTGTACCATCACTATATTCAAATACCTCCCGTTATGATAAGGTGAACTAAAGACGGAGTCTCTCTTTTTTTTAGTTAAGGAAAAGTCATATGAAATTTTTACTATTAAATATAATATAATTAAAGGAATTTGGCAACTCTTTCCATAACGTAATGAAAAACGAAAGAGGGATCAGTCATCGCTGATAAAGTATAAAGGGGGGGACTATAGAAAATTGACTTCCCATAAGGGAGGGAGGAATCATTAAATTAAAATACGACAGAGCCTAAGGGGAGGTTAGAAAAATTTTAATGTGATACTCCCCACCCCTCTCATGCGATAGATAATGACCAGGGCCCAGTTGTTCGAAAGCCGATTAGCGCTAACCCAGGTTTCATTCTTAATCCAGGTTTCTATATTTCTCTGCTCAAAAGCCGTTTCGGTATGATTTCTCCAATTTTTTAGAGCATTCAATTATCAAATTGTAAATAAATGGAATTAACTGAAGTGTTTTTTTAAAGCTTTCAGATTTGAAATCAATTTTCACCCTAACCCTTGGTTATCTTAACCCACCTTTGAACAACTTGGCACTGTCCATTAAAAAATTAGATATATGACAACATTCGTTCGTGATACGGTAGTAATTTCCTCCTGCTTACTGATCACAAGCTCAGTTACAAGCAGAAAACGTTCCCGATATTGCATTTTCTTGATTTCATTAGGGCATCTAGTCTGTATCCATGCCCTTGTTATAATGTTGTGATTTCATAGCATTGATACTCTTTTGCATTTTATTTCGATGCCCAATCAAGCTGATACCCATTTCTCTCATTTGTTTGTCATTCAGTTCAGTGACTTTGTTCATATCATCAATTCTTGCTTTTCGGAATAATTCAGAATACTTATCCATGTTGATGTGTTTTAGCCACTCGTCCACTGACTGGAAATCTGGGGTATGGCTTGCTTTAGGACTAGAATAATGTATGAATAAATTAATAGCGATTTTTAAGGGAGCGTATTTGACCTGGGATTAAAGATAACTTGACTTTCCCTTTTTTCTGAGCTTTTTCAACCAATTTCATTTTTTGTTGCGTTGGGTCTTTTGAGCGGATTTTCGTGTGCTTTTGGTGTGGAATGTCATCAGCTTGCGCGCTCATCGCATTTTTTGAGCCCCTTTTTCAACACCCTCTTGGTCCGCCACCCGCTAAATCAGTCAAATTACCTTGGATGCTTTCAAATGCACCTCGTCAACTGCTTTGTAGTTCTCTTACCACAAATCAAGAGAGAACAATTTGAAAGATATTTATAGTCTTTCGAATTTGATGAAGGTTGATGGAGAAAAGTTGCACACGTGGTTTCGCAGGTGACGCCATAACAAAGAAGACGAAACAATCACGCAAATTAGAGGAAGTGAGCTTTGTCACCGATTCTTGGTCACCTTTCTTTGACGCAAATAACTCATTCTGTTATAATACAATGGAAACTTACCTCTCTGAGAAAGATGATGAATCACCACTTAAAAATTCCGGGGATCGAATAAGTTCATCCAGGCGATTGACAATGTCAGAAAAATTGGGCCGTTGGGTTTTGTTTTTATGCCAGCATTCGATCATTAAACTGTGGACGATTTGCGGACATCCCTGTATAAACAGATAAATCATTTTAGGATTAGTTCTTAGTGGAAAGGATCTTAACTGTTTTAAATATTTCAAAACCCACAAAAAAGGTTTCACCTGAACTATTGATCTGATTGTTCAAACAACAAACATATGAAATACATATATATGAACTGCGGTTATGAAACGTATATGTGCACGATCCTTCGCAGTAAAGCACTATTTAAGCAATAGTGAAAATCAGACCTGAAAAAAATTCAGGCCTGTACGGGATTCGAACCACTGACCTCTGCGATACTAGTGCAGCGCTCTACCAATTGAGCTAACAAGCCAACTGGGTGCAGGCCATCAAATTAATTCGACATAAACCCGTAAGATGATAAATCAAACAACAAACATATAAAATACATATATATGAACTGCGGTTATGAGCAGGCCTTCCCATCTTCACTCGATCTCTTTATTTTTAAGTCCTTGTAATCGAGTGCTGCTACTCTTTTTAATTGTTTTGGTTTGCTGTGGTGTTTTAGTGATTCTTGCGATGGTAGTAGTTGGATTTAAATATGAACTAGGGTTTAATTAATGTTATAGTGTTAATGAATTAGGATTTAAATAATAGGAACCATCACTAGGTGTAAGATATGACATGAGAGATCCCAGAGAGTAAACATATATAGCTGAGTTGCATGGTCGATAGAGGGAGATCAACACAACAAAGTTCGAATTGAAGGTACACCCATTACAGCAACCAGAATCAGAGAGGCTACGAGAACTGATCCCGTTCTGTCACGTGTCTTACATTACGTATTGCATGGTTGGCCAGCAGAAGAGAATACGCCAGAGGAACTCAAATTTTTTATCGGGCTCAGACTGGAAGCATAATGTCGAGCGAATGGAAATGTTCTTCGAGGTCAACAATGTGTCGGAAGCAAAAAAGGTACCAACAATACTTACCTTAATGGGTAATAAGATGTATGCGTTACTTAGAAGTATTGTATCTCCAAGAGGGCCGAAGGATTTGTCTTTTACGGAAATTGTGGATAATTTGGCTAAGCACCTGGATCCGAAGCCGATAGTCATAGCCGAGCGTTTCAAGTTCTACAAGGCGGAACAGCAAAAATCGGAAGCAATAAGAGATTTCATTGCTAGATTGAAAAAGTTGGCTGAGACTTGTGAGTTTGGCGATTATCGCGAAGAGGCGATTCGGGATCCATTCGTGTGTGGTTAATTTAAAGGAGCGAACGATTCAACGCAAGTTACTCGCGGTAGCGGACTTAACTTTACAAACGGCTGTCGAGAGGGCGTGTGCTGCGGAACTAACTGAAAAGGAAACCACTGCATTGCATGGAGGAAGTGTGGAATAAGTAAAAAAAAAAGTGGCAGCTACATTTCCCGAGTGCTTTCGTTGTGGAAAAGTCAATTACTCGTCGGACACGTGTTTCTTTCGCAATTCCAAGTGTCATGGTTGTCAAAAGGTGGGTCACACTGTGAAGAAATGTCCTGAGAAGAAGCAAAAATCTGAAAATGGGAAGAAAAAGTGGAGCGCAAAGTCGAAATTTGGGAAAAAAAGATCTGGCAGTCAGGCAATCAGTGAGCGGAAGTGATTGGCCCATTTTTACAGTCCCAGATTCCCGTGGAACACGTAAAGAGTTTATTGTTCCAGTAGCAATTGATGGGAGAACTGTGGACATGGAACTTGACACTGGAGCTTCTGTAACTATTATTCCCAAGAGTATTTGGACTGATGTTCTCGCGTCAAAACCTGTGGAACGCACAGACGTGAAACTACGAAGTTATTCTGGTCAGGAAATTCCTGTTATTGGAGAAGCTAGAGTTCAAGTTGCATACCGCGATCAAGAAGCAGTATTACCGGTTGTTATCACAGGAAATGATGGTCCAGCGTTAGTGGGCCGCGATTGGCTGTCCGTGTTGAAGTTGGACTGGGGACATATCAAGCAGATTTCCTTAAAATCGGTTAACAAGTTGGACTGGCTTCGAACTAAGTATTCATCGTTATTTGATGGTAATCTGGGAACCATTAAAAGAGTTACTGCACATTTGAAGCTTAACGAAAACGCAGTGCCACAGTTCTTTAAACACAGACCAGTACCGTTCGCGTTAAAAGAGAAGATTGCTGACGAACTTCGAAGACTGGAAAAGATCGGTGAGCTGGAAAAAGTGGATTTTTCGGATTGGGCCACGCCCATAGTCCCCGTGCTGAAACCTGACGGCAGTGTTCGAATCTGTGGTGATTACAAGGTAACGATTAACCCTGTTTTGGATGTACCAGAACACCCAATGCCTACGGCTGATGACCTGTTCACCCAGTTAAATGGAGGAGAAAGTTTACCAAGCTGGACTTGTCTTCAGCGTACCAGCAAGTGCTTTTGGATGAGGAATCGAGACAGTACGTAACGATCAATACTCACCTTGGCCTATTCCGCTACACCCGTCTACCCTTTGGTGTAGCGTCTAGTCCTGCAATTTTTCAGAAGATAACAGATTCAGTCATCACTGGTCTTCAGGGTATTGGTGGTATTCTCGATGATCTCATTATCATTTGATAAAAAAAATTAACGGTAAAAAACTACGACGTTTCGAAGTCTGCATGACCTCATTATCAAGTAAAATGTTAAAACTGATGTAAAATTGTAGCTCAGAGATTATATACAAATAAAATGTGATAACTTCATTAGAATAATGAGCGTTCATTGTTATTGGTGTTTAGCATGTCAGATCGTGCAGTATATGTTTAAATAAATACTTTTGCACGTATTGAGTCAGACTGCGTGTTTAGCTTTGGTTTTTGTTCGCGAATGAATA